TAACACAGTGATGTAATAAGAAAAGGCAAAGTGATGAATTGGAGGAGAAAAGAAACTTTGCAACCTATTCCTTCACAGTCATCTCTCTCCTTTTACTTTTTTCACAGTCATTCTCTTTTCTTGTTGGAGCGCTTTACTAACACACTAAATCACCAGAAGGAAACTTAAAATTTTTCTTGCCATGACTGTCAACTTTCCAACTTTCTCTTTTTGGTTCTTTTTTGCCCGAAATTACTTCTAAAGTGCTTTTGCTTGAACTTCCAATTTTACTTGTTTGTAAGAGCGATGAACTGTCGTTAGCCAAACAATTCGCCAAAAAACGTTTCTCAAAGGATTGTGGAGTAGGTAGATTACAGGGTGATTACTTAAATTTCGTTATTATCACTGTTTTTTAGCTTTCTCTTAATATAAAATAATAGTAATTTTTCAGCTGAATGGTGGAGAAAGGAGATATAGACACTGTTGTTGATGAAAAAAATTAAGTGCCTGGGTAATTAAAGGTAAAAAGAAGAAAGGTTCCAAATGGAAAGTGGTCTGTGTATGGCCGTTAATGAAAATATACTTGATGAACCACTTGTTACCATCATTTTTTTCGACGGAAATTAGGTCATGCTACACGAGACATTAGGTTTTTTTACTAGTTGTTTGTAAACAGTTATTAATTTTATTTCAAAGAAAAAGAAGAAAATATTTAACACTATGAAAATATTTATAACACTTGGTAATATGAAAAGAATTACCGAGGGAAAAACGGTCATCAAAATTATTTTGCCAAAATATACGTTGCTCAGAAAGTTCAATTAATATGAACTTTTATGAATGTTTGTGTGAACCAAGAAGAAAGCGAAAAATTGACTGTAGTCTATTTTTAAGATTATGTAGATTAAATTAAACATGAAAAGTTTTCATGAATATTTTTAAAATACATCGTTTTTAGAGTTTTGAACTAAATTTTTGAATTATTCACTACCACAACTATTATTTGTGCCTCATCGTCTTGAAATTTCACTTGAAGGTGGAAAAAAATTTGTTCAGACTGTATTCGACAGGTTCATTTTGCAGCGTATAAAAAGTTCGAAACAGTTCTGCAATGTTTGAGGGCAGAACATTTTTTAATTGGTGCTAAACATAACAGTAGTTAGAACCGATCTAAGAATGAGCTGTATACGGTATCTAAAGTTCTGCTGTTAATATTGTTCTTTGTTGGTGCTAGAATATTTCAGACTAAACAGTCGCATCTGAAAAACAAAAAAAAAAAAAACTGCGAATTAAAATTACATTAGTTTCAGAGCAAATACTAATTACTAGCTGTTGTGCTTATTTGGATTTTTAGTCTGTTAGCTCAAATTTTTTTTATTATTCTTATAAAGATCGTATTTTGTGTCACTGTGTCACTGATCTGCTAGTTAATGTTTCTCTAAATTTTACCACATGGAAACCTCTTTTACTTACAGTATTCAACGATATTTCAACAGTATTTGAAGAAAGCGACAAATAGAGTTAAGTTAAGTTTTTGTACTAGTTTTACGGTATAGTGGTGCAAATTTATCAGATTTTGCAAAAACTCGGTGATTTTTTATCAATTTTCACGGGTTCTAAATGTGCTGTTTAAAAGGCGATAACCAACAATCACTGCAATAGTTCAATTACAAAAGACAAAAAAGTTTTTCTGGACCACAATTGTCTATTTCAGCTCTGATTCTCGATTCTGCTGAAAAGTGACGGAAAGTAAATAAAGCGGTGGAAATAGCTCTAAACTTTATTTATTGGCCAGAATTTCTAGAGCTGTGAGGTTTTTAGAATAGACGCTAAGTTGTGAGAGATTTAAAGGGACAAGCGAAACTGTATATCGATATTAGCGCATAGACGATAAGAAGTAAGAGATAAATTTTTGATCTATATAAAGAAAAATTTGGAAAAATGATTTTTTTTATCTCTACAACACATATCAAAAAATTTTTTGAATGTATATATGTAATTTTGTCTACAAATACTGACAGCATACTTCTTCATAGTATTAAGAAAACCTTTTTTTTTTTTTTT